TCACAAAAAAAAAATCAAAAATCATGATAAAACCCCACCTTTTTTTTCATTTTTTTTATCAAATTCTAAATAGTAATGTTAATGAACATCGGTTCCGTAGTTTTAAAATATCACTTGAATCGAACGCAGATCACCCCCAAACATGATATTTACAAAAGAACCCCTCTATTTCATCTAATTTTCAAATTCTCACTCAAATATCTAAAATCACGATAAAACCCCGCCTTTTTTTTTTTCATTTTTTTATCAAATTCTAAATAGTCATGTTTATAAACATCGGTTCCGTAGTTTTAAAATATCACTTGAATGTATAATTTGTAAATAACAATGTTTTGGGGGTTGTCTGCATGAAATTATCCCTTTTAAGCGGACTTAAGTTAGTAGTTACGGGTCATTGAGAACCGAACAAGTGAAGATCGGGCGGGAAGCGTAACAGTCAATTCAAAGCGGCACCACCCCACTAGTGATGCATCCAATCAACAGCCAGTAATATCACAAATATATGGCTGTGATCCTTCAAAATTTTAAATCACAAATTAATATAAATATTTTTTTCCCAAAAATTTAAAAATTACTAATGGTCGGGTGATTGATTGTTGAATGAAAGGTTCGGATCATGGCCCTTTTGATCTGACGACCCGATTACCGTATTAATATCATTGGCTACTCTATTGCTTTGAGATTTCTATTAGTTTTTCCATGTTATATATATATATATTAGTTTTTCCATGTTTTGCTGCTTCTTGGCAGTGATAGCTACGATAATGACAGATAAACTATTTAATAATTAGTGGCGCTAAAATCAGGGAACATGATTTCATATTTATGACAAACAAACTAAGGTGATTTCAATGTTATGAGTGCAACAATATCATGTAAAATAGCTATAATAAGAAAATAATTATTTTCAAAATCATGTAATAATTTTCTTAAAATTAAAATACTAAAACAAAATTGTTTGAAGTGATTTTTTTTTTCCCTTAGAAGATTCTTTTGCAAAATAGACAAAAGCTAATGCTAAACAAAGTACATACACAAAGTGAATGGAGCGTGAGAAAAGAATGAGAAAGCAAGAAGTAGGTAAAGCCCAAAGGCATAGGAGAATAATTTATATTCTGAATTGTCTATCAATGCTCTTGAGATTCTATATTGTCATTCGGCTGCCATAACGACTGAGGTTATCGTTACTATAGCTTAATCATGTCTCGTCGGATCGTTGTTTTGCTTCCTTCTCAGATGACAAGCTGTACAACTACTTATTCAGTCGGCATTGTCGATTCAATCAGCTGAATAATTTGCTTTGTGTTGATTGGTGGCTCTTTTCATTCGCCGACATGTGTCCTATCTATGACTGTCGGATCTGATTTAAGGTATTTTTACCATAAAATAAAAAGCAATCCTCTTGACAATAATAATAAAAAAAAACAAATGTTTACATACATATTACTTAATTTTTACATATAATGAATATATATTTATACGATGTGAAAATTTTGACAGGCACATAAAAAATTAAAATTTATGTATTGGAAAATTGAAAACCTAAGAATTTTGGGATATGGATGTAGTTGAAAAAAAAAAAAAAAAAGAGTTTTCCATCATTCCTATGGCTTGATCCCCCATAATTTATTTTGGCTGAATTTAAAATTTCACTTATTTTACCCGGCTGCTGCCAGCCAGCAGTCGTTGTCTCATTCGCACGCAGTTGCCACCCCCGAAGTTGCACCCCAACCTCCACATGTCGCCCTCAGTCCAACGCCATTTACTCTCCCGCCATCGCCGCCAACCTGCCCACCACTACTGCCCACTCGCTTGTCACCACCACCGGACACTTCTCGCTACTCGCCAATAGCTTACTGCCCACTCGCTTGTCACCACCGGACACTTCTCGCTACTCGCCAATAGCTTACATATTTTATAATACATTATTTTAAATTTACTTCAAACGAAACAAAAAAAAAATTTTTTTCTGCATTTTTTTTACAGTGAATTAAATAATTTTAAAAAAAATTTCTGCATTTTTTTTACAGTGAATTAAATAATTTTAAAATATTTCAAACACAATACATTATTTTCATATTACATCATTTTACCCTATTAGTTTATCATCAAGTCAAACGGCCTCTAAGTTAGAAGTGTTATACATGTAAATCAACATAAACTGGGCCTTATGTAATGAAATAGTCCAAATATATGTGAAACTATCACCAACCCACCTAAAGTTTGCAACTTTAACCAAAATCACAACAATCCAACTGAATCCAGGGATACACTATTCATATATATTTGCAAAGCTCACACATAAACTCTTTTAGTTACGCACATAAATTCAAATAATGGAATGCTCGCCAAACCAACCAACCAAAATTAGTGTAAGCCCACCGAAACCATTTGCAAGCCAACAAAATTGTTGATGTGAGGAAATTCTTGAATTTGAAATAGAAATCCAAAACCCTAATGCATTAACATGTTGAATCCTAAGTTGTCTTTTGTGAACATGTCTCGAGAGTTAGAGTCGGGACTAGAATGAATAGAGAGAGAGAGAGAGAGAGAGTAATTAGGCAAATTCAACGGTGAAAGAGTCCCTTTATTCATCCTTTGTCGCTATTTATAGAAAAATATTAATGCAATTACAAAAAGAAGGAAACAGTTATGGAAACCGCTCATGCGATTAATTATGCAAATTTTATGTCAAATTTGTATTACAATTTTTATTTGAATATGACGATAATTAGTCGGTCCGCTCGCTTGGGTTAGATCGACCGAGTCGACCGATCAAATGGCGATCGTGTCTACTGAAGCAAAAGCTGGTGGGTTGACTGGTTGCGATTGGATGCACTTATATGGAGTTTAGGCAGTCAGGATTGTATGCATACTTCATCGATTGAGTCTCTTGTTGTACTATGTCGGTAGACTCCGATCTGGTGATTGGTTGTTGAATGAAAGGTCTGGATCGTGCCCCTTTTGATATAACGCCCTGATTATCTGGTCACTATCTCAGACTGCTCCATTGCTTTGAGATTCGTGTCGACAGTTCTAATATACATATATTAGTTCCCCAAGTTTTATTGCTTATTGATAATGATAGCTACAATAAAGATATGAAAACCTTTTAATAATCAATGACACTAAAATCAAGAAACATAATTCAATAATTAACTTTCATTTGGATTCTATGCCCATCATGCTTTATATAAAAAGTCATATACTTTGCATGACATCCGTTGCCGTCATTTTTTCTAGTTAACCGTGTTGCATCATGGCCGATGGTTCGAACCGTATCACCATGTGCCCTAGAATTCTTGCCAAGGTGGGCTACGGGTTCTCGGTCTTTGCGAAGAAGAACAAGGTTAAGAAAGGGAAACAGTTGAGGCCCGAACCTTCATCGGTTGATCAAGTCAATTCATTCGGGAATTTCGAGGGATGAATGTTGAAAGTCCCACGTCAGGAGGCCACAACTCTTGAGTTTGGCATGGGCGTAAGTGTCGAGGGCTATACTGAAGGTGCTAAGGCAATAAAAAAGGAGCTAGCAGGAGGAGGGATTGTATCTCCTCTGTCGCTACTACACAATGGTGGAGGTACCTCAACGCAAGAGGGAGAGAAGCCCTTTAAGACCATCTCGACTGGCAGTGAACTGAGTCGAGCCATGGGCTTCAATGCTCTGTAAATCTTCAATTGAACCTCAGTGACTCCACTCTTACACCTATGCGGGGAATAATGCACCTTCAGCCGTAGATGGCTGGATGAGCTAATACCTCTTGTACAAAATTTGCAGTTGAACCTCCGTCCGCTCTCTCTGAAGATTTGGGTGTTGTTTATGTAAATCTTTGTTTTTTTAAGAGTTGGCCGGTTGAAGTGGGTGTACGATCAACCGTAGGGGAGGTGGCTAGTCAAAGGGTGACTGACAAGATTTTGGTGGTGATTATGTGTTTTTAAAAGTTGGTTGCTATCGCGTCCGACCATACGACCGGCCTTATAGGTCCGCCGTTATCGGCACGTCTCATGGCGTCCAACCAAGGTGGTCCTTCGTATGACCGGCCTTATAGGTCCGCCGTTATCGGCACGTCTCTAGCGCTGGCAATCCTTCCGGCTTGGTGAGGCCGTATTTTTGGGCTGAGAGCAACGAGATAAATTCGAATTTAAGCCGCGGAACAGAGCTCTTCCATGCAGATGAAGAAACCATTGTTCGCTCAAATGGAGTTCCCCAAACGCACTCCGACATGCTTTCCAAAATAGACAACATCAAAACAAGCCGACCCAACTGAGGCCTAAATCTCATATCTAAAGAAGTTAACATAGCTTGCTTAGAACTCATCCATAGTAATGTAAATTCGCTGATGTGAACCTTTGCCTCGATGGAAAACTAATTAAATCCAATATAGACTCGCCAACGGTCACGCCGGCTCATTCATTCAAGGTGAGACGTTAAGCATATCAAACCTATTAAATTTGGGACATTTACATACATACCACCCAATTCTTATGTATTTACTTATCTCACACCTAAATTTTAAGACTTTTACATTTATACCATTCAAATCTTTCATATCACATAAAAAAAAATGCCACCATTCTAAGTTTTGACCCTTTCCTCGATATGGACAAATTAAATTTTAGGTGTTAGATATTTAAATACATAAGAATTGTGTGGCATGTATGTAAATCTTAAATTTATCCAAAAAATACCCCCGATTTTCTTTAAGCATATTATAAATCCCCAAGGAAATACATTAAAAACACATCTCACACAAATATTTTATTTTCTAATTAATTATATATTTATATAAATAAAGAATAAATAAAAATGTTTTATGATACAAAATCTCATATTACGAGGCATGCATCCCTGGCCGTACTTCCCACTTGTATAAAAGTGCGCGCACCTCTCCACTATCTCCGAGCCATTCTTGATCGAGAGAGATGGGCGCATTACCATGGCTGTTTTATGGTACAAAATCTCATATTAAAAGGCATGCACCGTGGCCGTACTTCCCACTTGTATAAAAGTCCGCCCACCTCTCCACTATCTCCGAGCAATTCTTGATCGAGAGAGATGGGCGCATTACCATGGCAGAGTACGGAGGTGGGAAAATGGCTGGGATTCGTGACAGCGGTTTGGGTACAGTGCATCTCCGGCAACAACTACACCTTCTCCAACTACTCCGACGCCCTCAAAACCCTCATGGGTCTCACCCAACTGGAGCTCAACAACCTCTCCGTCGCTAAAGACATCGGAAAAGCCTTCGGTATACTAGCCGGTCTCGCCTCCGACCGCCTCCCTACTCCGGTCCTCCTCCTCATCGGTTCCCTCGAAGGCCTCGTCGGATACGGTGCACAGTGGCTCGTCGTTCGGCAGTCCATTCCTCCCCTGCCTTACTGGCAGGTAAGTCAACCGTGATAACTGGTTTTTGTTCAGTTTTTTTGGTTTACGCAATTCATCGAACACCTCGGGTTCGGTTACAGATGTGCGTGTTCCTCTGTATGGGCGGCAACAGCACAACGTGGATGAACACGGCGGTTCTGGTGACGTGCATACGCAATTTTCATCGTAATCGTGGCCATAATCGTGGCCCGGTCTCAGGGATACTCAAGGGCTACGTGGGACTCAACACTGCACCGCCATCTTCACCGATCTCTGCTCTGCACTTTTTACCGACGACCCGGCCTCTTTCATCCTCATGCTAGCCGTCATACCTGTTGTTATCTGCGCCATCGCTATGATCTTCCTCCGTCAGACTCCTCCGCCGTCAACATACACCGGCGATGATACCGAGAATCGATATTTCTGGTGGATCAACACGGCGGCGGTGCTCATCGCGGTTTATCTCCTCGCCTTCGATCTTACGGGAGATCACGGAGTGGTCGTCTCTCGGATCTTCTCCGCTGGTCTCATCGTTCTTCTCGCCGCTCCGGCTATCGTGCCGGCGTTCCTCTGGTTCAAGGCCCGATCATCCTCGCTGCGAGCGGCTACTTCAGACCTGGAGGTGGCCGAGAGTCAGATTCAAGCGCCGCTCCTCACCAGCAGCAGCACGGAGGAGAAAAATTTACCGGTGGAACCGGCAGAGTGCGGCGATCGGGGAAAGCAGGTTCAGAAGAGATTGGAGATCGGAGAGGACCATACTATATGGGAAGCTATGAGGAAATTGGAGTTCTGGGTATTGTTCGTCTCGTTTCTCTGCGGCGTGGGAACAGGGATGGCTGTAATGAACAATATGGGGCAGATGGGTCTCTCCATGGGCTACTCCGACGTCTCCATCTTCGTCTCTCTCATCAGCATCTGGGGCTTCTTCGGCCGCATCGCATCGGGCTCTATCTCAGAGCATTTCCTCAAGTATTCCTCCCTCCCTCCCTCCCTCCCTCCATGCTTAGAAGACGGCTTATAGCTAACAATTGGGCATTGAAAATTTTGGCGGGTCATAAAAAAGATCCGCATCTTGGGGGGAATACTCCAGGGTATAGAGTGAAGAGAATCTAATCAATTTTTTAGTAGAATATATATAACTTTAATCACTTAAATCGCGTAAGTTATTAATTGTTATTATTAAAATAAATTAAATATTGACATCAGATTGAAGTTATAAGACGATTTTGAAAACTTTTTTAGGATAGATGACTAATGATGATGGCATAGATTTGAAATATAATGAAAATTTTCCCAATCTTTGCTTTGCCGGCAACCAAAAGTTAGTGGATGTCAATAGTTTTTTTATAAAAAAAAAGGTAGACTATCAAAATATTTTCCAGTGTTAAAATAATCTCTAGAGCTCTAAGATTCCTCTATGGAGATTATTTAAAAAAATTTATAAACTTTGGGACTAAATCTGAAAGAAATATTGTGTCCGGAAGTCTGCACGTCGATGACGTTTGCAAGTTGACGAGGTGTATGGCGACCTTAGCGAAATATTGTGTCCGGAAGTCTGCACGTCGATGAGGTTTGCAAGTTGACGAGGTGTATGGCGACCTTAGCGGCCGGTGGTTGGCTGTCCGGACGTTGACGAAATATTTTTTCTTAATTAAATAGTTCAGAACTATTTTTAATACTCTACTTTTTTTCTTTAAAGTATTTAAAACACTTAAAAATTAAAAACACCATAAAAAGACACTAAATACAGATAAAAACACAAATTAGAAATAATTCCAAACAAACTTTAGATAAAATTTGAATTTTGTTGAGAAGAAGTTCATCAATATGCCATGATAATCGGTGTGAGCAATACGGAAAACTAAAAGATAATTCTGCTTATTTTTATTTGGCTTAATTCGGTTTGATTTTATTATCTTCATAATTTTAAATTTAGTTTAATTAGGGGCAAATAAGATGATATAACTAATGTAACTAATAAATTATTCAGATTAATTTCTTAGCTTTAGATAGTGATTTGATCATTCAAAATACAAGTTTTAAAATTAAAAAAATTATTTTTTTTTCTTTGATTTATTTGCAAATTGCGTTTGTTTAGTTTGAGTTATATTTTGTAAATTTTAAGGACACAATTAAATGATTTTTTGTTTAGAGATAAAACTTTAACGATTGAAATTTTGACGATGAGATCACAATATAGATATGCATGACACAAAAACATTACCTTCTTATCTTTATTATGTAATTTATGCTTACTTATTTATATATTTTGTTCTTTGAAAAGCGATAGAGGTTGAGAACAATTTTATTATTGATAAAATTTAATTTTCATTAGTAAAATATTTATGAAGTTAATGTAATTAGGAATTTCTCAAGAGATATTTTTCGAAGATGATGGTTGTTTTTACATTGGGGTAAACGATAAAGTAGGCGTAAGAACTCATTGATGTGTTCTTTTGTTATAAATTATTTTCAGTATATATATGTATCTTGAAAAATTTCTCATGTCATAGTTATCCACCCTAAAAAAGAAAATTATATCAACTAATTTTCTCAACACATCATTTTAAGATGTTCATATATTGTATGCACAGATATGAGTATGCAAAAATTTTCTTTAAATTTTTCTTATTGAATTGAGACCACATGTCAAAGTTCTTGAATTGAGCCCTCCTGTGAATGTTGTTGAATTGAGCCCACCTTTCTAAGTGGCTGCATCGAGCCCACCCGCTAAAGTGGTTGAATGTAGTCCACCTGCCTATCCTTTCGCTCTCATCTTTCTTAAAATGACAACTTACCCCACTTAGACGAGCCCAACTATTAGAGGAAGCAGTGATTGCTAATAAGAAGTCATCATGACCAATAAGGACATCCGTCAATGCATTTTGAAAAGCAATATTTGGTGGTTAAGAATACATCGTTTCACCCATGTGCTGACATTCACATCACAGTTTTTCCACCAAGACACCAAGAAATGAACATAAAATACAAGATGTAATTTTTCAAATATTTTATTGATTTTCTCCCTTGTGTATAAAAAAGAGGGAAAATGATAGGGGGAATCTTCTTCTTTTCTTTCTCCTCTCTCCTTAGATCACTCTCAATCTCCATCTCTCTTTTCAAAATTCTTTAACTCAAAGAACCTCCTAAAGAAGCTACTCCTTTTTATGGAGATCAAAATTTAATATATTTTATAAGATTCACTCAATATATATATATATATATATATATATATATATATATATATTTGCTTATTTTGTAATGGTAAGACTTGATAATTGAAGAAGTAAATTTTAGCTTGATTGCATTGTGGCAATTTTCCTATATTTTATTTTAGATTATTACATGTAGTCTTATCCCAGTTTCCATCAAAATAAAACAACTGGCTGGCTATTACTGTATTAGAAAACTATAAAAAAAGGGCAAAAGTTGAGCCCACCCAGAGTAAATTTTTTGGCTGCTTATGCCTAAGTTCTAAAGTTTACCCTGCTAACTTTTGGAAGATATGGTATAGGTTTCTGGATGGTAATAGGTCCCTGTTTTATTCTTTTGGTTTTTCCTTTTTTTTTTTTTTTTTTTTTGTTTTAATTTTTATACTTTTGGCCACTCAATTTGACTATATTAAATCTTATTATATTATTCATGATATTTTCTTGGGGCATTTACACAAATACCGCCCAATTTCTATGTATTTGCATATCTGATACTTAAACTTTCTATGTTTTTTCTTGGGACATGTAAAAAATAAAATTCAACCGTTAGGAATGTAAATACATAAGAATTGAGTAGTATGTCTGTAAATCTTCCTATTTTCATAGGGGTATTAAGTACATACCACCCACTTATATATTTACAATTGTAAAACCTAAATTTTACTTTTTTATGTTTATATTATCCACATCTTTCATAACACTATTTTAACTTTTAGATGAAGAAATGCATATTTTCTTGTATGGGCAAGTAACATGTATGTAAATATTGAAATTTAGTTGTTAGAAATGTAAATACATGAGAATTGAGTGCTATGTATGTAAAACTTCCTATTTTTAACCTTCAAATGTTTTATTGTTTCCATCATTCTGATTCAAATGCTAACAATCTTATGCTCCATCACAGTAAGAGTGGAACACCAAGACCTTTATGGAATGCAGCCTCTCAAATTCTCATGGCTGTCGGATATATCGTGATGGCCGTTGCCTTGCCGGGATCTCTCTACATTGGCTCCATCGTTGTCGGCATATGCTACGGCGTCCGCCTTGCCATCTCCGTCCCGACTGCTTCGGAGCTCTTCGGACTCAAATACTATGGCCTCATCTACAATGTCCTCATCCTCAACCTCCCCCTAGGCTCTTTTCTATTCTCCGGCCTTCTCGCCGGTTTACTCTACGACGCTGAGGCCACCGAGACTCCTGGCGGCGGAAACACATGTGTCGGCGCACATTGCTATCGGCTCGTGTTTGTTATTATGACATTTGCTTGCTTTGTTGGGTTTGGATTGGATGTGTTGCTAGCGATCTGGACAAGAGGTGTTTATTTAAAAATTCATATGAACAAGAAGTTAAATAGGAGTGAGATACAGTAGGTGAATGGTATTGGGAAGTTTTGGTGTAGAGAGTGAAGTCAATTTGTTTAGTTGGTGTTTTTTAGGTTGGTGTAAGTGTTAGTGTTGTAATATGACATCTTAAGAGTCGAATCTTTGCTTTATTTACAGCTAATATAGTAGTTATTCAACCAATTCCTTGGGTGTTTGAGCTTAATGTTTGTACTCTAACCCAAGAATCTTTAACAGCCTTGAAAGTTCTAGGTAAAATACAAAAAAATAAAATAATAGTAATATAAATAAATACAAGCACTAATTATTTGCACTTCATATAATTTTAAAACATCACATAAGAAAAAGTTGTGATTTAAAGAAGATAATTTTTGGAGGGGTTTTATGACAGGTAGCATCGAAATATTAATAATATTGTATGATCGAAATATGATAAATTTGATTAAGCGGTCTTGGATGGGGCTTCTACCGAAGAGTTGATTACGACACAGAGCGAACGTTTCAACTAATTGTATTAAAAAGTTGATTGAATTAGACGAACGACTCATCATTCTAGAAGCAAGCGAGATTGAGATTCAACAAGTAAGAATTTCAGTCATAGTAAAGGATATCTCGACAGTTATAGCAATCAACCGAAGATAAAGAATTTCAATGACATTATATTTTACAATGCAAATCCTACATACTACAAATATCAAAACATTAACATGCAAATGGGGAATATTTTTTGGGGGAAAAGACACAAAAATATATTATTGACCGTTCCAAGACTTAAATCTCTTCTTTTCTCTCTTTATTCTTCTTTTTCTTCTTCTCCCTCTCTCTTTCTCCCTCTTTCTCCCTCCCTCCTCCCGTCATTCATTGGGTGTGATTTATTGATAAGAATGAATGTTTAGCATATTCATAAATCAGAGAATGTTTAAGAAGTTCTATCAAAATTTTTATGTGAACATATCCATAAAGAAAATAAACACCAATATCTCACCTAGTAGAAATAACACATTATGTAATTTTGGTGACAGTAGTTTGATCTTTTCTTAAAATTAGAGAATATGATGTTATAAAATTGGAAACATTGACTCGGTCATCTAGGTCTATCATAGATATTTCTAAAGGAGTAATAGAACTTGATGATGAGGGTCAGGGCACAATGATCGGGAGATAGTTCGATGATGGAGATCAATGATGGTGGTTGACGAGTAATAGTCAAACGATAACAGTCACACACTTGCGGTTCAATGACAATAGACAAAGATGGCAACTGAGAGATAACAAGTGAAAGATGATGGCTGTTGGTGATGATATTCAATTTTGAAAGCCTATTGGAGTTCTATAATTTAAGGGCTTCAACTTTTCTACAATTTTAAGATCTAATCGTTTCACTCTCATCATATGAAGAATAATGATTTAATTATTTAATTGAATGTTATTTTAGTAATTTTAACAAAAATATTAAATAGTCGTCTCATCTTATAAATGTGATCCTTGAGTGTGATATATAAAATCTTACAAAGAAGCATTGTGGTTAGTTGAATTTATGTGTGTAGGTGAGCCTAGCTGACTCGTGAGCCAGCTTGGGCCAACTAGATAAGTGGATTGTAAATTTATCTCGATGAGCTAACAATTCATGAATATGCTCGTTTAAAACTAAAAAAAATATACTGAAAATATATTAAAATTTATGAAATTTCGTTAAATTACTAAAATGTTTAAGAAACTATATCTTACATTTTTTATTAAGTGATTTCTTATTAATTACTTGCTAAATGTTCATTATATTTATCATTTTATTATAATACTAATTTAAAATAATATATATATTTTTTTTCTATTTTTCATGCCAACGCTCGACTTAGTAGAATTAAGCTCGACAACCCAAGCTCGAGTTTGATTAATTAATCAAGCTCAATTTCATACTGAGGGTGGCTCAAGACCGACTTGACTCGTTTACGCCTGTAGTTGAATATGCATGTTGTCCTATGGCGATTAATATGCTCCTAATAATTGCAGAGCTAATCATGAGATTCTTTAAAAGGCATCATTAACGCTGCTGAAAATAAGAATTAATGAATGCTACCATGAAGTGCACATTAATTCATATATCCTAGGGTCTGTTTGGGGCAGCTGCGGCTTATCTGGCTTATCAAGATGCTGATCAGCAGCTGATCCGGATAAGCCGGCTGGCTGTTTGATTTGTGCATTTGTAAAACAGCTGATTTGCAGTTGTTTCTGGATAAATGATCGTTATAACTTTGTACAGTAATGTTTTTTTGCAGCATAAGTGTCATAACAATAGATTTGATACTTGAGAAGCAAAAAAAAAAATTTCAGAACAGTGAAGAAAAAAGATAATGACCTAAAAACAATTATAAAATGATAATGAATGACATAAAAAATATTAAAAAATGATATTATATATTTTTACTAGTTATTACATATTGTTTATTATAAAATGATAATGAATGATATAAAAAATATGAATAAATTGAACCATAAAAAAGAGATTGCACCGAGAACTAACTTCAGTTGACGTCTAAGCTGCTCCGTATTTGGCAGGTTATAAAAGCTTCAATTTGAACGACACAATGAATTTATTCATCCTTCACAGAAACAGTTACAAGCATGCTTTCGAGGATTGTGAATCCCCTTTATTTTAACTCTAGTAGAATTTAGTAAATTTTGTTAAAGTAAAACCCAAACCATTTACAAGCAAGCTTTAAAAGATTCTGAATCCCCTTTATTTTAACTCAAGTAAAATTTAGTAAATCCATGGAAAAATATAGTATAGCTGTGTGTTTGTTGTTTTGAGATGCTAAAAATTTGAGTAAAGAAGAGAATTTTATTAATTAACAAAACACTAATAAAATAGAAAACAACTATTAAAATATAGCAAAAAACTTGTAAATAAGAAATAAAACTGTTACAGGGGTAAAACTAGAGAATTCCATTTGTCCCAAACTGCATCATTTATGGATGGTGATCAACGAGTGGAGAGAGCCAGTAGAGGATCCTTTGACCGGGATGGCTGGGCACTAGCGGTAGAAATCCGTTGTGTCGTTTCATCGGTAATAATTTTCGACACAAGGGGTCATCTTGCTCCAGGAACCCTATAAAAAAAACTCACTGCCACAAGTACTCAACCAGATCGGCTCCCATTCCACGAAGCATTAACGCAATGGTCGACTTACAATAAACACTAGCATTTCGAATACAGTGGATATGTCTATTTGCTGCATTGCAAATTATTCAGAATTCTAGCGAGAAAGGAATGCAGAAAAAATAGTGTGCACATCATTCTCCTTCCTCTACCTCTTGTGAACTCGATTTATACTTGGAGGAGATCACTGCTTTTATAGAGTTGTAGAATGAAGGGCTTCACACTTATCTGAACCTGGCTGCCACAGCTGTTGGAATTTTATCCTTTCGCAAGATATGCTGTGTAAAAAAGTCATGTATGTTGTGTAAAAAAGATATGTTGTTAAAACAAATATTATCAAAGGATATGTTGTGTAAAAAAGATGCTGATAAAATTATATCGGAGTTGTGTTATAAATGCTGTAGTTGTGTATACGAGCAGATTTGAAGGAATTTTGTCCTTTCGTGAAGCTCCTTTAAAAGTCATGTATGTGAAGAGAAGATTGTCATCTGTAATTTAAAATGATAAAAAATTGTTGTTCCGTCTTAACAACTTCTGGGGACGTTAATTTATCAAGCGAAATTGAATGCACGCGAGGGAGTGCACTACAATGTGACGAAACTTTACTGCCTTCGCGAACAGGTGCCTTCATTACTACTTTAAGTTGTCAGCATGCTTAGTTCTTCATCTAAATTGTGTTCAAGATTAATATTGTCCTCACGGTATTTTAGCGCTCATTTTCTGTGCTGTTAAATTTATTTGATTAAAGACATTATGTTTAATGATATATTTGTCAAAACACTAATCCAAAAAGATCTGAAGTTAATTTTCTAATGATATATTAATCAGAATATTTTCTAGTTAAAATTTCATTTTGGCTGCAAAACTATGATCATAACATTTTGGATTGTGTATACACAAGAAATGTCGACACAAATCTCAAAGGGAACGAATGATCGAGATAAGACAGCTTCCCTTCGAGCTAAGCAAACAACTATTGATTCAACGCCGAACATGAGAAACCGTGTTTTCAAGTTCGGGATAAGTTCAAGCTCTTGAGATGGTTCCCTGCTTCGTAGCAACAAGACCCGCCGAGAGTGAGATGTTGATCATCTCGACAGTGAGACTCGTCGAATACTTTGCATAGGCAACACAAGATTTGCCCAAAGACCATGCAAGATAGAGAGATCCGACCGAACGACGAACGTGGTAGACATGCGAGACACAAAATCTGTAAGACTTGAGTTGAACAACAAGTGAGTCACAACTCATCCGATCGTTGTTGGCCGATTGACTAGGCCCGAACAAGATCGTCATACAATCAAGCGTATCAACCGACCGACACGCACTTTGAAAAACACAGCCGTCTTTCGATCAATCACTTCAATTAACTGAGTTCAAACAAATTGGCTTGCTGATTTGTACTATGTTAACATCAACCGACCGACACGCACTTTGGAAAACACAGCCGTCTTTCGATCAATCACTTCAATCAACTGAGATCAAACAAATTGGCTTGCTGATTTGTACTATGTTAAAATTCAGTTTGTAATAAATATAATTAATTACCGTAATTCATATATATATATATATATATATATATAATTATTGCCGTAATTTTTTAAAACTTTTATAGTAACTTTTTTTAGAAGCTTCGTTAAATCGAACAGAAGTGTTATAAATCCTGAACTAGAGGATAGTTTATCCAAACTCCACGTCACGGCTGTGACCAAATCCACTGAATGCATGCCACGTGTCACGTAAGAAATATGAACCGACGGATCTTCCACGCAGGACAGGCCAAAACATCCTCTATCGTTTCTCACTTCTCCACGTCACACCAGCGAACAACGCCACTGAACGGATGCCACGTGTCCTAAACGCCAACGCGAACCGTTAGATATTCCACGTAGGATAGATCAAACCATTTTTCACGGCGCGATTCGCAGCCAAGTCGTCGGCCAAGTCGTGGTGTCCGAAGACCCAAAGTCGTATTTAGCTCAACAGCGCGAAGATTTTCCTCTCAACAATTGCCAGATTTTGTTTCTCGATTGTTCGGTGACAGATTAAGTGCAATGAGGAAATGGGCGATCCCTTCCGCTCTTCTTCTGTTAATCATCTTCTCTACCATTCCGGATCAGGGTAAGTTCCGATGATTTTTAGGGTTTGGTGTTAGGGTTTTACGTATATCAGTTCTACAGTTGCTGCTGCTGTTGCTGCGGGGGTTTTCATTGATTGCTCATAATTTGGCGGATTTGAAACTGGATCCCACTTGATTTTTGTTTGGATCTTGCAGGTCGTAGGCTTCAAGCGAATGCCGGGGACCGTGGCGGGGCAGGTGGGGTTGTGCAGATGAGATTGAGAATCCGCCGAAGGTGGAGGAGAAGCTTAGAGCTGTACCTAGTGGAGTGTCCACGGACTCTGATGTCTCCAAGAGGTGTGGATTTGGTAGATTTATTTTGTTTGTGGTTTTTTCAGCATGTTCGATCGAGTTGGACTTTTCTCATTCAATTTACAGAAAGATGAACATCTGTTTTCCACCTTTCTCATTTTACTCGGCAGTGCAGAAAGATGAACATCTGTTTTCCACCTTTCTCATTCAATTTACAGAGAGTCGGAGTCGATCGGAAGGAGCTCTCTGCGTAGTAGCTCGGAGAAGTTTGAGTTCCAGGCGGAAGTGTCCCGTTTGATGGATATTATCATTAACTCTCTCTACAGTAACAAAGACATCTTCTTGAGGGAACTCATATCCAATGCCTCTGATGTGAGTAGATGGCTTTAGTTTAGTGCAGTTAGGTGTATAGAAATTTATGGTTTTTTTGAAATTATTTTGCTTACTTAATTTTGAAAATAGGCGCTGGACAAGATCAGGTTCCTCTCGCTCACAGATAAGGAGGTCCTAGGGGAAGGCGACAATGCAAAGCTTGAGATTCTGGTTAGTAGAACTGCACTAGCTTAAAGCTGGATTATTGAATTGAATTAAAGTGCTTCGATGGTAATAAATAGTTTTTATTGTGTATTGCAGATTAAGTTAGACAAGGAGAAAAAGATTCTTTCAATTCGGGACAGAGGTATTGGTATGACGAAAGAAGATTTAATTAAAAATTTGGGAACCATTGCCAAATCGGGAACTTCAGGTATTAGTTGTTTATTAGTGGACATCTACCGTTTTTTTTAAAAAAAATTATTTTATATACTGATTTTCATGATTCCGTCAATCAGTTGAGTGCATGCTCATCACCACAACTATTATTTTTTTATTGGTTGCAGCTTTTGTGGAGAAGATGCAGGCGAGTGGTGATCTGAATCTAATCGGGCAATTTGGTGTTGGGTTCTATTCTGTATATTTGGTAGCTGATTATGTGGAGGTCATTAGCAAGCATAATGATGACAAGCAGTAAGGATTTTGTTCGTTTTTTTCCTTCTTTTTTCTTGGAATTGGCGAGCCTTTTTATGGCAAATAGCTCGAATGCGGAGCTGCAGGTTGGAGAGGCGAGCCTCAACCTACTGCTCTCCGTAGTTTTAATTTTGTTCTCTTTGATGTATAATTTAATCCCTAGGGCATGACTGATCCCTCTGTTCTGCTTTTTATTAATATTTATTTATCAAGTATGTTGATGAACATGTTTTTATATTTCACTCTCTAGGTATGTCTGGGAATCTAAAGCTGATGGCTCCTTCGGCATCTCTGAAGACACGTGGAATGAGCCTTTGGGCCGTGGAACTGAAATCCGTTTGCATCTTAGAGATGAAGCTAAGGAGTATCTTGATGACATTAAGTTGAAGGTGAGCGTGAGATATCATAAAATTTTAAGCCAGCTTCTTTAATTTGCTTGTTGTTGCTCACAACTCCAGAGGTAGTAGTCTGCTATTATTACATTTAAAAAAAAAAAAAAACCATTTGGTTTTGTTTTGTTTAAAAAAAAAAAAAAACATTTGGTTTTGTTTTGTTTTTTTTTCTCTGGTAAATGTTGCGGTAATCTATCCAGGCTCAGGAATGCTATTATATTTTCTTTGGTTTACATTGACATGGGAGAAACAAATATCTCATATGATCTTGTTGAGTGGTTAATAAAAGTTTAAATCTATAACGTGCATTTTTTTGAACATTCAGCTTTCGATCTTCCTCAATCTTATTTTTTAACATTAACTTGATCCAATGCTCTAATTCTTGTGTCTTTAACTCCTTCAATGAACATGCATAAATCACTCAAATTTATTTTCGATGGTCTTACTTCCAATAGATGCAATTCCTACCTTCCTTTGACACAATTATTTTTCGATTTATAGTTCTTAGTTTGTTGCACATTCACTTAAATATTTTTAATTTTTCATATTCAGATCATATATAAATTACTTTTTACTGCTTAACTATTAGATCCATACAACATATATATATTATTTTTCGATTTTATAGCTTTACAAAATGTTATACTAAACCAAATTGATTCAAGATCAATCATAATGGCTGATAAAACTAAGACCTTCTATGTGCTTTTGTTAAGCAGAAAGACTTAATGTTTCGTGTTCTATTCTGCAAACATAAACCAACTAATAGAGTTCTAGTTTCAATTTGCCAAAACAATACACCTACAAGTAGATCACTGCTGTATATGTGAATAAACTTGATATAAGAATGAAAATATAACGAAACAAATCTATAGAAGTTTACCGAAACAATAACAATATATTTAACAACAGTAAAAGATTCGGAACAAGATAATTTATCACCATCAAGGTCGATATGTGACTTATATTGCATCAAATTATCATAGGTTCATTATAAACACCGACTTGCTAATAGAAATCCACAATATAATCAATGACAAAGAACAAAATAAATTAGTAAGAACACAAAACAATGAGCGCAAATACATATATTTATTTGATTCGGCACTAGGGTGCATGCGTCCTTGGAGTGAAATTAGGGCTTTACCTTTATTTCAGTTATACTGATGATTACGGGCTACAAACTAACAGGAAAATCTTAATACAATGATTAATATCGAACATCAAGATCGAAAACAAACAATACCTCTTCAAGGGTGCATAGAAACCATATAAGAAGTACAACTAGGGTAGAAATCATCTGATCCACAAGAACTAACAGAAAACTCAATAGCGAAACCTCGTTCGGCAAGGATTCATCCAGCTTTTTAGTAAACAATGCTCTTTATTTGATCGAAAGAAGCCCTAGGATGAGAAGTCAACCTCCTCATCGCCTAGGATGGAATGCTTGACTACCATATGCCGCAAACCCTTATTTCATTAGATTCCGTTGCTCGGACGCTTGCTTTCTGTATGCAAACAGGCAGGGTTCTTGCCTCTCTTGTCTACTTGGATGTCCTGGATTGCACACGCACTCTCAATTACTATTGGGAGGTATCTCGCTTGGTTCTGCTGGCAGGAAATAATAAAGGAGAAATCAAGGCAACACACTGGGCTACACATGAAACAAAGAGTATAAGGCTACACAAGTAAATAAAACGAAATTAGGTTTAATTAATCTAATTATTAATTCAAAATATTAACGCAACTTAATTTTTATGTCTCATGATACTTTTTTCTTACATAGTAACCTTAAGACGCATGTTTATTTAAATCAACCAGTTTTACTCTATAAATTGTATTCTTATATTTATCTCACTATTTTTATAGCAGTTCCAAAATATTTGAACATTAGGTGCCTTGATATCACATTAGCTTATTGTAATGTTCTTTAATGATTAATAGTATAATATCTATTTGAAATTAGATTTCATATCATAATTCTTTGATTTACTATCTTAAGTTATTAGCTCTAAACTTTTTCAAAATATAGAATTCATTTCACTAGTGTTCTCATTTGTTAAAACAATATTTGTAAAAGTTATTCATCAAGGTACCCCACTTTGAATGTCTGTTGTCAAAATCTCCATGATGAATGCAGAATCATGCAAATTTAATGCCAATAATTAATGTAAGTTTTATAATTGTGAGCTCCTTGGTCACTCCACATCTACTTTTAGCATACAAAAATGCTTTATTCTACAGCACTTTAATCATTTTAATTCATCTTTGTGACACATTTTTGGATTAATGCTTTGACTTTATGATTATTGAAGTGCAATAGCAATATATGATTCTTTCTTTTTTCACTTTGTTTTTTATTGTTTCATTTGTTTCTTTATGATTGAAGACGTAAGCAAACTCAAATTTGTATTTTATTTACAAGAAATGCTGACCTAATTTGATTGGGCCTAGTAAAATTTAAAATGTTTATTATTATTTTTTTTGGTAAATTTATGAAAATACCTCTATGAAACATTTAGCTTTGCTTTGAATTTTAGCCCAAATAGCATATCTCTATTCTAATTTCAGCTAATGTATATTTATATATTTAAATATATTAATGCATGTTTGTTTATTTATCTATATATAATAATTAATTCTATTGAGTTTACAATGTTTTTTCCTAGGACATCATGCCACTGGTACATACGCCCACTAAAAATTTCAATTTCTTATGAAAGATGATACTTAGAATATGCAAACTGACTACCCATTAAGTTGTATGGATGATTAAATGACTGACCAAAGGAGCGGGATTGTTCATTAATGTTTGAGTAAGCTATGAATTGATAAGAAAATTTCTTTCAAAGTCTACACTTGCTTTCACGTCTCTTTTTAAGTCTTTTTTGGGTTAAATTACCAAGATGTTTGGCCAGAAATCACTTCTGATTTTCCTTCTCGTGCAACTTTTTGCTGTATAATTGAGATATATTGTTGCATATAACTGTATTTCACAAGCTTAAGTTGATAACCCCCCCTTTTTTAAGTATCGTACATCACAAAAGTAGCTAATAACTCATTACATTAGAATGATTTTTTTCATTTTAACTTATTCTTAACCGTTTTTATTGAAAAGCAAAGAGGTTAAAATTGCTTATTTTATTTTTTCTAATAAGATTGAAATGAATTATTGAGCTTGATCGAGATGTTATTACTTATTGCTCTTAATTCGTTTTTGCATCACAATCATTGGCCGTGTTTTGTGCGAATTTTTTTTGTCCATTTTCTAGCAATTTACAATATTTTAATCATTTTCCTTCGTTATCACTGCACATGAACTATTTTTCCCATCTTTTTGGTGCATTTTCTCTAGCTGAGTTACTTTTTTTAGTCAGTTCCTTTTGATTCATTCTTATTCATTAGTTCTCTTTCTCAGCTTATTAGTGCATCTTCTTTTATCCCAATTCATGCCCAATCCATCAAAAAGCATTTTCTTCTAACTTAATAATGCCTTATCTATCTTTAATATCATTACTTCCCACTTATTCTTCCTAGTTTTCTACCATTCATTTTAACTTTCTCATTTTTGTCACCCTCAACTTAGTTATTCAGGACTTCTTTATTTCTCAACAATTGAATGTGAATTGTGCAATTGATCTTATTTTAGTTTTGATAAAATTGATCTCTATTTTAATTATTTTAAGCTCATCTATGTATGATTGTTCAGTAGTAAAATTTCATGCATAATAATAATAATTAAAGTTTTGGATGACCGAATGGCCGCAACATATCTGCCCGAGCTAAAATAGATATTACTTTCTACTTCCCTTTGGTTGTATTTGTAGCCCTCTTATCTGTTGTATGACACTTGGCCTTTCTTCCTGGAAACTTCATACCACCATGCATGCAGAAGGTAAAAATCCTACTTCAAATTGTTTCAATCATTAATTCAAAACTGTGACGAAGGTTTTTATTAAATTCTCTATCTTTACTGAGCTTTGTATGGAAGGTGATAATATTAAAACTATTTGACATTCTTGCGAGAAGTCCCTATTGAGTTAATAGGTCCTTTAAACAGTTATTCGATTATCAGCATGCATTTTCGAATAATAATTACAAAAGCAACGGGTCCTTGAAGTGGCTCAAGGAGCAATATATAATTTCAGGCGTCTCTACTTTACTCCTTCCATAAAGACTGATATTTCTCATCTCTGGCTGCTGTAATATGGATTCAACCCTTCTATTTCTCCTTTCTTTTTACCAAGGCAATATTTACTAGGATTGAATTTGATGGTTTATTTGGAAATTCAATTACGTTTGTGTTTGCAAGTAGTATGAAACAAGTTAAGAATTACATTAAAAGGTCAGATTGGTAAGTTTTGGAAGGAAATCTCCTCTTCATTGTAAAGATCCAAGGAAGTTGCTTTGTCCTATGTTTGGGTGTGCCCCTTTTTCTCCTTGGAGGACGTTACCTCAAGAGATGAGCTGTCATTCTTATACTTGCAATTCAAAAAGTATAGCATATACACGCCTCTGCTTTTGCCTTCAAATATAGTTTTTTTATATTGAATTTTTCTAATTGGATTATTCACTTTATAGTTGATACGAACAGTCTTTAATTCATCTTATCTTCTTTTAAATTGAACAAAAGTATTTGAATGTGCATGTATAAATTTATTTCGTCCTTGGGTAGCCATTAGTTGGTACAAAAACAAAACAGGTAGATTGTATGTCAAAATTAAACATTATTCATTTTATTTAGAATTGCTTAACAAATCACTTGTAGCACTTTTCATGGTTTAATATTTTAACATGTAACAAGTTTTTTAAACATACACTATTCTTGGTATTTGATCTTTATAAAACATATATAAAAGCTCTAATAACTTCATATTTTAGTAATTATGTTAGTTTTGTCCATTTCCTTAAATTATGTGGTAAAAAATGTTTTTTTTTTCTTATATTTAATTTGAATCATTTTATGTAAATTTTATTAATAATTGAAGATAAATTTTATGGTTAGCAACCACTAGATTGGATTTTGTTTCATGAACTTAAGGGACACTTGTGACCAATACCAAAGAAGATCCAGACCCTTTTCGTAATGAACAGTTGCATGGTAAATCCCCCGTATGGGAAAAAGTAGATCAGTCATAGTCGTGAAGGAACTACTTTTTCTTTTTCCTGACTTCAAATTTTGAATTTGTGCTAATGCAAAGAAGTTTGATATGGTATAACTCCAAGCTAGTGATTTGGCTGCTTTTTGTCTTTTTGCGCATGTATTTCCTACTTCATAACTCGTGTTTTTGGCATCAATTTGGTCAATGATTACAAAATATACATGGCCAGTGGAAAAATCTGAATGGCTTCTAATCGTTTATATTTCAAAAATTCTTGCATGAAAATTTTGATTTGGGATTGAATGCATTTTAGTTATTTTTAAAACTTTAAACCCTTGAGAAAAAAGTAGAATAACGAATTAAAATTACACTGACGTTGAATTTGTTTATCTTTTGTTTTTGTTTATGAAGAGGATCTGGATCACCTCTATTGTCTGTTTGATGCAATAAATCAATCTTTGTAGAATAGTTTTTTATGCAGTTTGTGTGGTTGGAAGCTGAAAGATGAGACAAAAAAATAGGAAAATGTGGATGAATCTATCTTTTTATTTTTTTCTTCTACAACATTCTCTCTGCCTCATCAAACTATTTTCCCCAATGATTTCATACGAAATTGTTATGATAATCACCATCTCTTATGTTCCTTGGAACACTTTCTTTAAACGGTGGCCGTCTACTTGGTTTTCATAGCTGCTGCTTCAATTCATAGATCGCTCAACAACTGTATAATTGAGCATAACGGTCATTGGTTGAAATATTTGACCTTTTGTTTTTAATCCTACATCTCTTGCATCTCATATCAGGAGCTGGTTAAGAAGTATTCTGAGTTCATCAACTTCCCAATTTATCTATGGACAAGCAAAGAGGTGGATGTGGAAGCTCCTTCTGATGAAGAGGAGTCTGGTGAAGAAGAAGAATCATGTACGCCCTTGTATTATCAATCCTCTTCTTGTTTAATTTTGATGTTATTTCACAATTTTCTATAGAGCTTTGTCTATAGTCAGTCATTTTTGGTGAATCTTTTCTATGTTATTATTGGTCAATACAGCCGAGACACCCAGTTCAGAAGGAGAAACAGAGGAAGAAGCTGAGTCAAAGCCTAAGAAAAAGACTGTTAAAGAGACAACTTTTGAGTGGGAGCTTCTGAATGATATGAAGGCAATTTGGCTCCGAAACCCCAAGGAGGTTACTGAAGAAGAATATACAAAGTTCTACCATTCTATCTCGAAGGTAAGATTGAATAAATTTGCCAATTAAAAAAAAAAAACAAGAATATGCTCCTGCTACTTATGTCTGAGAAAGTATGCTGGTTATTTACTGTTAAGATATGTTTTCATTGTTTTATATATTTCAGGATTTTGGTGATGAAAAACCTTTGGCTTGGACTCACTTTGTTGCTGAAGGTGATGTAGAATTTAAAGCTTTGCTTTTTGTTCCTCACAAGGCACCTAGTGATCTCTATGAGAGCTATTATAATACCAAAAAGTCCAATCTGAAGCTTTATGTTAGGCGAGTGTTCATTTCTGATGAATTTGATGAGCTTCTTCCCAAGTACCTCAACTTTTTGCTGGTAAATACAACATTCTTTTGATTCCTGTTAGCTTGGTTTGATTCATCTGAGTTGACTGGTTGTTTGATTCGGCTGGAACTAAAAAGACACTATAAATGGTTTTTTATAGGGTCTGGTTGACTCTGACACACTCCCACTTAATGTATCACGAGAGATGCTTCAACAGCATAGCAGCCTGAAAACGATTAAAAAAAAATTAATACGCAAGGCCCTTGATATGATTCGAAGAATTGCTGATGAAGACCCTGATGAATACTCCAACAAAAATAAGACAGGTATGGGTTTTAACCAGTTTGTGGTTCTTTGGATTTTATTTTGAATGGCCTGTTTGGTTTCTGAGGTTTAGTTATTCATTAGTAAATATTATGAAAAAAAAAATACTGCAGATATTTCCAGCGAGAATGAAGAGAAAAAGGGACAGTATGCAAAATTCTGGAATGAATTTGGCAAATCTATAAAGCTGGGCATCATTGAAGATGCACAAAACAGAAACCGTCTTGCTAAGCTTCTGAGGTTTGAGAGGTTAGTCTTGTTTTTTGCTATGTTCTTTCGAGATTTTATTTTTTCTTTTGTTTTTCAAGTCTGGACAGCGATATGATATGGTGATATTAAGCTAGTTAAACAACATGATTCTTATGCTTTAGTTTCTTTTAATTGCAGCACAAAGTCAGAAGGGAAGCTTGCGTCACTGGATGAGTACATTTCTAGAATGAAAGCTGGACAGAAGGACATTTTCTATATTACTGGAACCAATAAAGAGCAGTTGGAGAAATCTCCTTTCCTTGAGAGGCTCACAAAGAAGAACTATGAGGTAATAGTTAGTTTTTATAACGTCAGAAGGATAATTAATTCCTGTAATATTATTTGAAGATAAAAATTGTCTTCCTTATTATTATTTTCATCCAACTAAACATGAAATGCTCAAGAGGTCTCCCTTTCCTACCCAAATTAAATATGAAATCAAAGGTTGCCTGCCCTTTATAAAAATCTCAAATTTTGATCGCCTCTAACAATAATATAAAAATGAAGAAAAATTGAACAGGAATTTAGGAGAGATGCGCCACATCATTTATGTTTATTCATGTAATATTTTTTGGGGCATTTACATACAAACCGCCCAATTCTTATGTTTTTAATTATCTAACACCTAAATTTTGCTTTTTGCATTTATACCACCCATAATTTTCATTTCACATAAAGAATACCACTATTTCAACTTTTAAAAAGTGAAATATATCTTTTCATCCGCAGCTAAGGTGGCATATATCTAAAGTTTGAATTTTAGGTGTTAGATATAAAAATACATAAGAATTTAGTAGTATGTAACTCTCCAAATAAAAAAAAAAGAATAAAAATTGAACAATCAATTGCGAGATGTGTGCCTCTTTATATATGTTTATTCACGGTGCATGTTCCCATCGTACCCACTGTCCAATCTCTTCTCCAAATCCCCACTCTCTTTGAATGTGCCTTAATGTATTTATTTTCTTACCTTATTGCAGGTCATTTTCTTCACTGATCCAGTCGATGAGTATTTGATGCAATACCTAATGGATTACGAAGACAAGCATTTCCAGAATGTGTCCAAGGAAGGTCTGGAGCTTGAGAAGGAGTCCAAGATCAAAGCCCTCAAGGAATCTTTCAAGGCTCTTACCAAATGGTGGAAGACTGCTCTCGCCAGTGAGAATGTCGACTCCGTAAAGATCAGCAATCGTCTGGACAACACTCCCTGTGTTGTGGTCACATCCAAATATGGTTGGAGCGCAAATATGGAGAAGATCATGCAGGCTCAGACTCTCTCAGATTCTAGCAAGCAGGCTTACATGCGTGGCAAGAGGGTTCTGGAGGTTAATCCAAGGCATCCCATTATAAAGGAACTAAGGGAAAGAGTTCCTGAGGTAATGCAACCGATTCCTTTTGATTAATCTTTAGCACATTTGGTGAAGTAGAAGACAGTGCCAAAATGCTTTTGTTTTTTTTAGGTATATTTTTAGGTTTTGATTTGGCGAAATCTGATTTGACCCAAAGTTTTCTGAGAATGGTGTTAAAATGGTCTCCCAATTTTTTTACTGGAGTGTCAATTTAGTCATTAAGGCTTATTTAGTATGGAGCTAAAATAATCCCCGAATTCTTTAAGTGGACTATTTTAGCCACTTTTTAAATAAGTTTGGGATTAATTTGTCATTTTTATATACTCTTGGACTAAAATAACACTTTATTTTAGTATGGAGATTCGCACTAGAGTTATAAATAGCACCGCGTAAGAAGTTAAACATGTTGATTTCACGAGTGATAGATATGTAAATACATAGGAATGGAGTGGTATGTATTTAAAACTTTCTTAAATATAATATGCCTATCGAGATTGAGATTTTTAGTCTATGAAAATGAAAAGCAATGGAACTGTTTTATTAGAAATTGCTAAATAATCATGAAACACCCTGAAGAACTTTCTTATAATATGCCTGTATATTATTACAGGATGAGAGCTTGAAGCAGACTGCCAGGCTCATATATCAGACAGCACTGATGGAGAGCGGCTTCAACCTACCTGATCCCAAAGACTTTGCCAGCAGCATCTACGGTTCCATCAAGAAAAGTCTTGACATTAGTCCAGATGCAGCCGTGGAAGAAGAGGAAGAAGCAGAAGAAACTGAGGCCGAAGAGAAGGGAGCGACCACCAATGACGTCGAAACCGACGAAATCAAAGAGGAGGCTGAGTTCTCCGTCAAAGATGAATTGTAGAAGAAAATGGTTATACCTTTTCTTTCTGTATGGGGTGTTTGATTTTGATAAAGAGTCCCCCTCCCCTGTGTTACAGCCACCCATCACCCAAGTTAGGAGAAGCTCCCTGAGCCGTCTGATCTTTTTTGTAAGAGTGTGATCGGAATAACTCTCGAGGTATCTGCGGATGATCCTTTTGGACTAATTGTACTTCTGATGAACTTAAAATTTTCCATCCTGAAATTTATTTGGATGTTCTAAATTAATCTGTTTTGTTTAACCTGCTACCATTTCCTGGTATTGCTCTGCCTATTTCTATGCGCTTACTGCTTTCTTTTTAGAATGGTAGTTTTATTTTTTCTTAACACAATACTTTTGAAGATTTACATACATACTGCTCAGTTCCTGTGTATTTACTTATCTTTACACCTAGATTTTAATTTCTACATACATGTCATCTTATCTATGCATGAAAAAGTATATTTTACATTTTAAAAGTTAAAATAATGATATCACATAAAAAATAGAATCATCACTGTCTTTTTATTAGTGAAATACACATTTTTATGCATATGCTTATGACATTCAGATGTTAATAAATGCAATTTTCAAATTGTAGGTTTTAGATATATTAATCGTCTTAATATATATATATACATCATTTTATATGGGGTCATTTTAATCTCAGAGTTTATGAACGTGTTAAAATAGTTTGCAAACTTGGGCTGAAATAATCACTATAGAAGATATTTAGAGTTCAATTTTAAAATAGTTGTAATGACCCTATATAAATAGAAAGACAGCTTGAATATAGCTCATATTTATTTGATTAAAATTTTTATATTGACTTAGTATTATAGAAATTCCTATGATTTAATCTAAGAATTATAATGTATAATGTATTGAAATGAAGTTCGATTGAATTGTAAAATAAAAGAATTTATAGATGTTTAGAAAATTTAAATTTTATTTGTAGTTTTATTTAAGCTTTTTTTTTTAATAATTCTATGAGATTAAATAACTAATTTAAAATTGTTCTTTCCTTTTATCTCGTCCCCACTTAAATATTTAGTTTTATTTAGTTTTCTTAACCTCTTAATAATAAGAAAAATTATAAATTAATTAATTATCAAATAAGAGGTATTTAGGTGCTCAATTTATATGTGACATGAATTAAAGTTTGAATTTTAATTTTTTTTCTTTTTTAATAAGAAAATAATAGCATTTTATATTCATATCATGTCAGAAAAAACTGTCAAAACAGTTAGTCAGGTGAATTAGTACATGGGAGTCGTCACCTCCAATCCATTGACGCTCATATCATATCATATCACTCCTTATAACTCCTAACATGTACCAAATTCATAACACTAACTATTTAAAGAAAAGCATGTTGGTCCACCCTACTGCACAGACTAACTTATCTCTGCCAACATGAATCATAATAGTCAGTCTTTCTTGCACACACACATTTCATAATATCATATTATTTAAAGCAGTTATAATATGCTCAACATCACATTCTATATGTAAGACATGTATGTATAAAAAAATATGGAGATCCATAATACGCAATAATATGATTAATCCGTATGCATCAATTAAAATAATATTTGCATGTTAAACATGTATGCCATAATGTTATGCCAATATTTGATAAAACATATATCTTTAATTACATTTTTATAAAATTTTATATAACTCAAATAAGAAGTTTTGTCTCAAATCAATGAAATGTGTTGTGAAAATTCAATATGTATATACCAAAATATGCAGATAGCAAGAGCAATAGAATATTAAAAAGTTACACAATGAATGAAAGTTTCCAAAATAACATCATATCAACAAATTTTGCAATTATTTAATGACAAAAACATTAGAAAATATGTAAAGTGCTAAAATGAATGAAATTACAGATAGAGAAATGGTAACCTGCCTTGATTCGGTCAATTTTCCCAGTTGGCTTGTCGCACAAAAATCGAGTTGTAGCCTCCAAAAATCTTTCTCAATTTTCATTCTATTTCTCCCTCTCACTTATTTTGCCTTTATGCTCTCACTGTTTTGGATTAGCAATGCTATGGGAAGTTTCTGGACAAAGCCACTTAAATGAATTTTATATAAAAAATATACCAAACACATATATATAATTATCCAATTTAGTTGAATTCAATTGCAAACTATACATAAACATCTTATATCTTTTAATCAGCAGCCCCAAAAATTATGAAAAAATAGTCATAAGATAGGTTATCATGTCTTGAATACTCCAGTGAAAAGAGTTTGAAAAGTGAATGCCAAATGACTCGAAAATATATTTATGCCCGTAAATGCATATTTTATAAGAAATTATAATTGTATCATTAATCTTATATTATTATATTTAAATTTTGAAAAAGTTGTATCATTAATCTTATATTATTATATTTAAATTTATCCTAAAAATATGAAAAAGTTGTAGCAATTAAATTTCATCATTTTCTATATTTTGGTGAATATGGTTTGTTAATCGGACTTACCACGGAGTCATAAAAATCATTTCAAGTTTATAGGTCAAAATTTTCTTTTATATACTTTCTAACAATGTTTTTATTAACCAATCATTTTGAAAATGATTAAGACCAAAATAACATAAAAATGCATCTTAGTGGATACTAGAACATCTACTAACAAAGTACAAACTCAAGTGTTGTGAGTGATTTTCATATGTAATAACCTTGGATATTACATTGAGCATTTGTATTATTTTGTTTTACTCTTTTTTTTCGCACAAATTTATCTCTAACCTGGCATCATAGCTCGATCTACCAGCTCTTTAGGTAATACACTTGATAGTAGAGAAACTCATTCGAATATCTTCTCGAAGTATGTGGTTGATCTTTTGATCCTCATATCAGTCAATCAAAGGGAAAATTCTGATGATTCTGGCAAACTGCTCTCATAGTCTCGAACAATTTTTGTTCCTTACTCTTGCTTTCTCAAGCCGTTTATCAACTTGAAATGACATGTCTTAAAAAAGTACCGCTACATGAATCGTCTCTTGAAATTCGTCCATGAGTTTACTCCATCAATTTTGAAAGTGTTGTGGCATTGAATTTCCTACCAATCATCAACTCCTTTGTGCAATTGAAATATAACAATGTCCACCTTGCGATTTTCATGCCACTTAATCCCACGAAGTCTCTTTTTTACATCATGAAGCAACACGCCTCACTTGATCAAACCCATTGTGTCATTGAAGGAAGGAGGGCGCATCTTCAGAAACTGGCCCTTCAATTGATTCATCACACTTTCATTGGCCATCACTACTAATTGGTTAGGTTGAGCATCCATGATAGCAACAGGAGTCATAGTTTGAGCTTCTTGCAGTGTCGATTAAGCGGGTTATTGCGTTGTTTGAAACACCCATGCAATTTGAGCTGTTATAATAACTTGTTGTGCTTTGGTAACGTTTCATGTTATCATCTCCACAAGAGCTTTCATGTTAAATGATGATGCTCTGGTAGCATCAACAAGTTGAGCAGAATAAACACAACAACAATTAGGGGACTGAGGATAGGTACCACTAATATAATAGCTCTCGGAGCTTCTGTTATGCGTGCGATTGTGATGCCTTTTCACTTGGGAGTCATTATAAATGGTTGAAATTTACACACAATTAATAATTGACTAAATAAGCAACTAACATGAATATTATATTCCCTCACCAGTCACAATAAGAAAATTGATATGAAGTGCAAAGGCAAGAGATGCTGAATACCAAACATAATCTCTCATACCACTTTGTCACACCTCACATTTGGAAGATGGTACACCCAAGAATGCAAGGTGTGATGAAAATGATTGAATATGTTTTGGAGTCTCAGAAGAAAAAGGACATACACTTAATAATTGAATGAAATAAGGAAAATTGGGTTTTGTTCCCTAAATAAGAGTTTAGTTGATACACGGAGAGGAAGAAAAAACTTAAAAGAAACTAATATGAAAATTAGAGAACAACTATCAACACCTAGAGAGAAAAATATAATAATTAATTTAAATTTGATAATACCAAAAGCAAATCTAAACTTAAGAAATCTGCTTCAGTAGAGAAGATCTAGTAAATGACTGGGTGAAACTGTTATGAAATATATTAACATGTAGGTTTAACAAATCAAACTCAATAAATAACAAATATTCATTAAAACATAAATAATAATGAAATTATGACGACCAATATGAACAATATATATGAAAGATTTACTATATGTGTAACAAAATTTACAAACTATCATATGTTGATGACCATGAATACGAGTAATCTAACCAATGCACTTCAATGTAAGAATTTAAATGTCATGATATCATGTGTTTTTGAAAAAAAATGATAAATCATTTATCACCACCAACAATAATCAATTTTAGTGCATGTATATATATTTTTATATTATAAATATCAAGTTTACTTCGACACCCTAAAAAAATGAAATGTAATTACCTATCTCACGAAATTCAATTGATGTTTATGATGACTTGTCGGTTTGGTAAGTTAAAACAAAAGTGTTTAATACAAGCATAATAATATTACTATCAGTTATATTTCATGCATCACATTCAAAACATATGAATACACGTACAAATGTCCAACCATTTTTATAACAAATTATGAAATTGTAACAATGAGAATAATTAAATCTGAATCTATGCAACAATAAAACAAGACTAATCACACAAAAAAATCAACGTGAACAAAAAAAGAAATAAATTGTAATTATATTAATGAATTTAAATGGTATGGACGACAAACCTACAATTAGTTAGAAATCTATACAATTAACAATGTTAACACATAACTATTAATCATCTATTTATCCCATTATAAAGAGCATTTATTTACCTCACGACAAACATTAACTACAAATTTATTAGCTTAACCTTCATTGACTAACAAATCATATAAAATCAAATTTAGATGTGGGGACAGACGTGAAATTAACACTATTCTAACCTAATGAGATTTTGAAGCACAATAAATCTAATTGATTTTAAATTTTGATAATAATAATATTATTGAAAAAAACATGAGCAGAAAGCAAGGAAGAGTAAGCTCATAGTAGGTCTTGACTAGGATAAGTATTTGATCATTAGAAGGGGCAGATGGTTGCAATGTTGTGAGAAGATGGGAGGTGGCAACCACCTCAACCTCGGGAAGTAGGTGAGAGGTTTGCTTGGTGAGATCTAACACCATCTACAAAGGAAGGCAAGCTAAGCCCTAAGCCTTAACCTCTTTAAATTATGAAGCAAGAAAGAGAATGAGAAGAAGG